CCGACCTAACAGAAACAGAAATAGGTATTTATTATTCACTATTTACACTTAAGTCCTTCCAGTCCTGACAATTCCCCCTCCTTATGATCAGCCTTGTCCTCAAGGCTGGAAAAGTGGAAACTGATGGCTAATAACAGAGGCATCTTCCCACGAAGCTTCATCACTATCCATATTAGTCCATTTGATCAGATATTGTATCACCGGTTGATCATTTCTGAGGATAACCCTTCTTTTAAGGATTGCTTCAGGTTCCAATATGCACTGATCTTGCATGTCAAACTCTGGCATGGTGGGAGTGGTATGCTGATCTGGCCCAATCTTTTTCTTAAGTAGAGACACATGAAATATTGGATGTATCCTGGCTCCTTCCGGTAACTTGAGTCTGTAGGAAACCTGCCCAACCTTTTCCAGAATTTCAAAGGGGCCATAATACTTGGCTGCTAGTTTGAGACTTTTCCTGATAGCTAAGGACTGTTGTCTGTAGGGTTGCAGCTTAAGGAACACATAGTCTCCAACTGCTAAAGTCCTTTCAGTTCTGTGCTGGTTGGCAAAATAAGTCATCCTTTGCTGTGCCTTGTCCAGTTGTTCCCGGATGGACTGAGAAATCCGAAGTCTTTCCCGTACCAAATCCTTTGCTCCTGGTATGATAGTGTCCTGGTAAGGCCCCAGTGGTACGTGTGTTGGTTGGTAACCATAGAGGGCTTCAAAAGGTGTGGCTTGTAATCCTGAATGGAACGTAGTGTTGTACCATAGCTCCGCCAATGACAACCATTTATGCCAGTGAGTGGGATGTTCACTAGTCATACACCTCAAAAAGTTCTCCAGGCATTGATTAAGCCTCTCAGATTGCCCGTCTGTCTGGGGGTGGTAGGAAGAGCTCAGATGTAATTCCACCCCCATTAGTCTAAAGAGTTCATGCCAAAACTTGCTAGTGAAGATTTTATCTCTATCACTTACAATGGACACTGGTAATCCATGCAACTTGTATATATTGTCTAGAAAAAGCTGTGCAACCTATGTGGCTGAGAAGGGATGCCTGAGTGCCAAGAAATGAGCATATTTAGTGAACCGGTCGATAACCACAAGGACTGTGTCAAACCCCTGAGAAATAGGCAACTTCTCGATGAAGTCCATAGTAAGATGAGACCATGCTTTATCAGGAATAGACAAGGCCTGCAACAGGCCTGGATACGGCACATTCTCATGTTTGCATCTCTGACACACCTCACAAGAGCTGACAAACTTGGCCACATCTTGCTTCATCCCTTCCCAATAAAATGAGCTCTTCAGTTTCTGATAAGTCCCTCTCTGACCAGAGTGCCCTCCCAAAGTAGTGTCATGTACTGCCTTGAGCAAGGAGTTCCTGATATGGTTGGCTGATCCCACAACCAGCTTCCCTTTATACTTAATTATCCCATCTATAACCTGATAGTCACTCTCAGCTTGTGAGTCCAGCAAACACTGAGCTATAACAGATTGCCATTTGTCATCCCCTGCATAGCTACTACATAGATCCTTCATCCACTTGGGTCTAACTGTAGAGAGTGCCAGTATAGAGTGTTCTTGTTGATTTTCCTGGGCATAGCAGACCTTCCTGGATAGAGCATCTGCAGCATTGTTATCACTTCCTTTCTTGTATTGTATCTCATAATCCATACCCAGCAATTTAGTCAACCACTTATGTTGCAAGGGAGTGGTCAGTCGTTGCTCCAATAAGTACTTCAGTGACTGGTGATCAGTCTTAACAATGAAGTGATGTCCAACCAAATAGTGTCGCCACTTGGTCACAGCTAACACTAAAGCCATTAATTCTTTCTCATAGACGGATATACCCAAATTTCTAGGTGAGAGTGCTCTACTGAGATAAGCTATTGGGTGAGAATTCTGTTGTAGAACTGCCCCGATACCCCCATTGCTAGCATCTGTTTCAATTACAAATGGTTCCTCAAAATCTGGTAGCCTTAGGACTGGGGAAGAGCACATGATTTGCTTCAGTTTTCGAAAGGCAACGTCTGCTTGCTCATTCCAGCAGAAACTATCTTTCTTGAGTAAGTCTGTCAATGGTCTGCATATGATGCCATACTGCTTGATGAACCGCCTGTAATAACCAGTAAGGCCTAGAAATCCCCTTAAGGCCTTAACTGAGTTGGGTGTAGGCCAATTTAGTACATCCTTTATCTTCTCATCTTCCATACTCACTCCTTCTGATGAGATTATGTGCCCCAAGTACTCAATCCTTTGCTGGGCAAAAGAACATTTAGATAGCTTCGCATAGAGCTGGTTTTCCTTCAGTACTTTTAACACCACCTCCAAATGCTGTACATGCTGGCCCAAGTCCTTGCTATAAACCAATATGTCATCAAAAAATATTAATACAAACTTGCGTAAGTAAGGCTGAAAAACCTGATTCATCAAAGCCTGAAAGGTGGCTGGTGCGTTGGTTAACCCGAAGGGCATCACCAGAAATTCATAATGTCCCTCATGGGTCTGAAAGGCAGTCTTGTGCACATCCTGGACCTTGACTCGCACCTGATGATAACCAGCTCGCAGGTCTATCTTGGAGTGGTACTTAGATCCTCCCAACTCAGCTATCAGCTCCTCAATATTAGGAATAGGGTATTTGTCTTTAATAGTCAGTTTTTTCAGGTGCCTATAATAAACACAAAAACGCCAGGTTCCATCCTTTTTTTTAACAAGCAGCACAGGTGAAGCATAGGGACTATTGCTGTGTTTGATGATCCCACTGCCTAGCATTTCCATGACTTGTCTCTCTATCTCCGCCTTTTGTGAGTGTGGATATCTGTAGGGCTTGATTTTGAAGGCCTGAGCATCAGCCTTAAGAGGTATGGAATGATCCAGATTCCTCTCAGGTGGTAGCCCTGTAGGAGCAGCAAAGACCTCTCTGTACTTGTCCAATAGTTCCTTTACCTCTGCTGGTGTGTCGGTATCTGAACTCCCCTGCTGGAGCTCAGATGTTAGGTTGTAACAACTGTGCTTATAGTTGATGTAGTCTCGTAGGTCCTTATTCCTCAATAGATTAAGTTCAGCCTCTACTACACATCCTTGCAGGATCACTTCTTCTGCTTCACTGTGAATAGCTATATGTAGTTTGTGGAAATCAAAGGTGATGGGGCTATAATGGGTCATCCAATCCACTCCTAAGATCATGTCCCACCCTCCTAGCTCCATAATCCTCATGTCAAAACAGAATTTATGATTGTTGGTGGACCATAGCACTTTTGGCCACTTGGTGCACCCTGTCACACTCGAACCATCTCCAATGACCACCGTGAAGGGATTAGTGACTACATATGGCAATTCTAGATTTCTGACCAGATGTTGGCTAATATAGGTTTCTGAACTACCTGTGTCTACTAAAATGTACACAGGAAATCCTTTGATTTATCCTCGGAGAGTGATTGTCTTCCTCTTCAACGCTTCAGAGAGTGTATGTAAAGATACATCCATCAGTTCCCCTGGGTTGCCCGTTTTTTCATCTTGCTCCCCTACTGCATCTAGGAATTCCCCTTCGTCTTCTTCCTCAACTACCATCATATTCAGCTGTCTATTCCTACACTGATGTCCAGCACCATATCGCTCCCCACATTTAAAACACAGTCCATTGTTCCTCCGAAATTGAATCTCCTGTGGAGATATCCTCCTAGTTGGCGTGGCTTCATTATTCTCATTTTTAAGCATACTAGATGGTGGAACCTTATAGGCATTGGAAACAGCCGCAGTGTTCTTAAACAGGCCAAACTTGGGATCAATAGGTGATTTTGTTATTGGCTTAGCAGACTTTTGCTGCAGTTTCCAAGCTTCCTCTTGCAATCGAGCTAATTCCATCGCATCCGACACTTTGTTTGGTTTCAACATTTTTTACCATGGTTTTAATTTCCTCTCGCAATCCACTAATAAAACTTGAAACGAAGTATGATTCAGAGAGGTGTGGATTCTTTACCAGCATTAGTGATTTCAATTCTTCAAACTTTTCTTGGTAATCCTCCACAGTTCCAGATTGTTGCAACTTATTGAAATCCTCCACCACATCGCGCGTGCCTTTCTCTGCAAATCTCTGGCTGAGCATGTCGGCAAATTGCTGCCATGACAGATCTGGAAATTCTACCTTGATGCCTTGGTACCATACATCTGCCTTATTGTCAAGGAACATTTCGACTACCTCCATCTGCTGCTCTGGTGGAATTTGGTAAGTTATGAAGTACTTCTGACACTTGCGAAGCCAGATGCGTGGATTCTCTCCGGCGAACAAAGGCAATTCGATCCTTGGTGGATTGGATAAAAATACCTTTGGAGGTTTGACTCTTGAGCATTGATTGGTGCCAAACTCCGGTTGGAGCTTCGTGTGTGGGGGCGGCGTGGGTAGAATGGGGCTTTTCTCTAGTTGAGTTGCTTCCTCTCTGTCCCCATTCCTTTCTCTGGCCATGATCTGAACCAAGGCATTGAGTTTCTGGTCCACGCCGGCGATCATTGTTCTCATTTCCTTGTTGGAGTTCTCCATTTCCCCTCGCAGCTGCTGTTGAACTTCTTGCTGGTTTTACTGAAGAGAAAGGATCGATTGCAGAGCTTCCTGCAGTCGAACTTCTTGTTTCCGTAGTTGATCTTCCATATTCTTGAAGCGGGTGCCTTCTGCCATTGTGATGAGCTGCAATAATCCGAGGATTCGCAGCTCTGATACCACTTGTCAAGAATTCAAGTAGAATTCCTGAGGCTGAGATGCCGTAGGCGCAGGGAAGGAAGGAAATTAGGGAGAATAAGAATTGAAGAAGAAGAAGAGTAAAGTGAGAGGAATTGAGGAAGAAATAAGAATCAAATTTGTTATTCTGCTAATAATGCTCCTCTCGTGTACTGAGCTCCTTATAAGGAGATTAGCTAGCTAACCGTCTACTAACTAACTGAGCTGCTGACATCATTAGTTCTAACCACCTGAGTAACCGACCTAACAGAAACAGAAATAGGTATTTATTATTCACTATTTACACTTAAGTCCTTCCAGTCCTGACAGCCATTAATGCAACGATAACAGATCTCATGCTCGGCCTTGATTCAGGTTTTTTATGTGTGCAAAGTTTGGCTAGCTGAAACATCTGCAATCAACCGAATTGTTTTCTTTAAGAAACTAAAGACACAGTTGCAAGAGGACAAGTGCTCAAGTCGTCATGTACTAATTTTTACCTTGCTGACTGATTCGATTGGGTAATTATCCCCAAGTCTCGGGTCAACCAGTTTGCGAAGATCATCATTTGAATCCGGTATTATGGGAACTTGTTCAAACTGTCATATGAGCAACAAAATTATTAGGTCCTCAGAAACTGAAATTTACAAGCCAACAAACAGCCACCAAGTAAATTTAAAGTCTTGGGAGCTATCCGTATTTCTGAAGAGTTTACGGATACAAATATGGAAAGCTCTCAAGTCAAGGAGGTCGGTATGAAGAGTTTTATATAGTTTAACATAGAATCTTTCTTCTTTTTTTTTTAATATCCAACTTTAGTGCATATAGCAATCAAATTTGCCTCCTTATGCATATAAACTTACCAAACCAACAAGGCCCTTAGTATCAGTAGTAGAGCCTCCATCAACTACAGCTGCCTTAGCTGAAATTAGTTCATAAAGCATAACACCAAAGGCATAGACATCAACTTTAGGAGAAACAGTACCACAATTGGCATACCTGCCACAAAAGTAGAATGAAGGTTGTTATTGCTTCATGCCATGTAAATCAGATAAAACCAGCAAGAATTCCATCCATGAAAAGTGACTGGCTTGCTCTAGAGAGAACAAAAAAAGGGGGGACTTATTGTTTCTCTACGTGAAAAGCATCATAGAGAATCCAATAGCCAATAGAGGTATTAAAAATGCAAAGATCAGAGTGGCAGGACTGGTGCAATAGTTGTATCTTGACATATTAAAAAATCTATACAAGGAAGCTGGAACCCTTTCACTTTTGATGCCTAACAAATTAAATATGGCTTGAATCTGATATGGCATCATTTTCATATCGACAATTAGCAAGTAATAGTTATAATAAATCCATTAAAAAGAAAATACACAAAAAAGTTTTGCTGCTACCAAGCCATACTTTTAATTACTTCTCCTGAATAAAAGCAAAATGTATGAGCCCAAAACAGAGACTTATGTTCTGCACATAATCGAACATTGCATACACTTCGCCTTAAGTGTCCATAACTCGAAAAAGTGGATCCGAGGGCTGCCTGTCTAGAGCATCATAAGGAGAGAACATATGAATTTCAAGATTCTTTTGTTATGGCATTAATAAGAACGAGTTTTTTTTTATTTTATTACAGTCCTCCAAACCAAGTCAATTCCGGTCTTGGAAACTAAAGGCACAAGCAGCAAGGGACCAACCCAAAGAAAAGGACACTTTTGTGCCAAAAATTTCTCCAGCTTGACGAATGAGTTTAATTGAGAATTTCAAACCCCAACAAATTATCTATCAGATCAGGCCCAAGCTATTTAAACTTAACATCTATGCCAAGTCCCGAGTAGACACTTAACCAGTTTCCTACTTCAAGTATTTTTAGCACATTTACTTGAAGGACTAGGACTCTTCTAGTTAGACAATAATGGAGAAGTTTGTTTTTATTTATGTGCCTTGGTGATTTAACATAGGAAACTAGTTCATGTCATCAAGTATAATCAACTAGTGGCAGACATGGAGCTAATTGTGATGTTTTGCAAAGATAACGTCAGTTGTCAGGTTTTGACTGATAACAATTGTCCTAAGGAATGGTTCCTTACTTTTACTACTATATCATTCTGGAATCAAAACTATTTACTTCACGAAGTTTCTAAAGGCAGATTCTATAATCCTAGACATATAGATTGCAGTCCTGCTAGACTTTTAATTGATGCTTTATTTGAAGCAAGGAAACACGTCTGTGAATGGTTATGTGCAGGAACTCCTTGAGCTGTTTATCAAAATGAAGTTCTTGAAGGTCCTCAGAAGAGGAATACTGTATTTAAAGCTAATTTGAAGGATGAAATGAGGAACAAGTTACAGCAAAAAGTTTTATATTGCACAAAGTGGGTTTTGGGCAACTGTTCATGCTGGCCAGCAATTGGGACACCACAAGAGTCAGAATTAGAGCACATAGTGGACTTCATATTTCTGTGTTCTCAATAGTAGTTGGGAGTTAATTGGCATGATTTTCATATTGTGATAGTAGCAAATATCTCTTTATTGTTTGACAATAGTGCTTATCATTAATCAATTAGTAACTAGTTGTTACTAAATCATGCTAATTCAAATCCAACAAATTCTGCTCCTATCCAATTTCAAGGTTTGAAAATCAATTTCAAATTTAAGTTCAAGAAGAACTACTGCATAATCCCAGAGACAGTTCTAGGAACGAGGTCACAGTACTTCAGATGTGATGATGGCACGTGATTAACTTGTATGTTTGAGACTATGTAAGAAGAACTACTTTACTGTCTTCATCCGACTAGCTTATAAAAATTCTCCCTAGTATATTTTTTAAGCCAAGCCTTGTTCTCTTCCTTCACATCAGGAAAGAACAAGGAAGGCCTAAATAGTGGGGCGAAAGGAATACATTTGCACACCTCCGAGAGCTGACAAAACCTTGAAACGATACTAGATTTTGGGGAGTGACTAACACAAAGAAAGAAGTCAAAACTTTCTCATTCTCCTCGAATTTTGAATACACAGCTCCTTAGCACTGGAAATTCCCGGGAAGAGTTGAACAAACAAGAGAAGCCATGGACAGAAAACCAGTTACAATTTTTTCACTATGGGCTTTGAAATTCGGACTCTTCTTAGGAAGGGAACTCATAAGATAAGGAAACACCAGAGATAGATTTAACAGGGTAAAATATGTTCAATTTGCAATGTAGCATAATATACGCCAAACTTAGTTAAAATTATCTAGAAATTGAGGATCAAGGAATTTCAACTTGAAAAAGGAATTATCTGCAAGCATTTAAGTAACAGATTTCACTACAAATTCTTTGCAAAACCTAATATTGACATAGCAATGACACAGTTACGTTAACAGTAGTACTAAATTAACTAATCAAAACTTACTCTGGTGCCATGTAGCCAAATGTACCCACAAGATGTGATTGCAAAGATGAACCTCCGACCTCAGCCAATTTTGCTAAACCAAAATCTGCAACCTGCAAAACAAACAATTTAAGCCATAAATTTGGAGATTCTTTACATGATTCATCATAGAACTAGGACCAGGTGACACTACCTTGGCACGAAAATCTTTATCTATCAAAATGTTTGCTGATTTAATGTCACGGTGGATGTAGGCAGGAATAGTATGCTCATGAATGTACTCAAGACCTCTTGCTGAATCCACTGCAATCTGCACCCTGCTGGACCACGACAGTGTGTCGCACCCTAGAACAATCCAGATATCTTAAGAAACACTCACACTGCTAAGAAGAATTACTATCTCTACACAACCATGCTTCAAACCTGTGATTCCAATAAGGAACGCTAGAAAAATAAAAAAAAAACTGATGATGTATTCCAAAAATTGTGAGTAACAAGATGGACGGGTAAAAGGAACTGAATGAGTTTATAAAGATGTAGAATAATAACTATAGATTGACATTACTGGTCCCTTGATTTTGAAACTCGTTTAATTTCTTATGTTTATTAGGTTGTGCCATGTATTGACAATTAACATTTGGCACCATACCAAATACACTTTTGTTATCTAATTGACATATTCTGCTCCTGCCAAACTTTACTTATATAGCCACAGTATGAAAAAAAAAGGTGATTTTGTCAGTAAGAAACACTAAACACCTAAAACATCTTACTTCTATCTTAAGATGTAGGTACTAATTTGAGTACAAATACAGCTCATAAAGAATGCATCAACCACAATGAAATGCGGCAATGTGAATAAAGGCAGATTATGATTGTAACTCTAATGTGACGTACAGTTTATTTTATGATATTCACGTATAGTGAATGACCTAAAAAAATGCATGGATGTTTACAGATGAAATAAAATGACAAAACATTAAGGAAAAATTTGTAAATATGACAGACTTTTTGTCATAGGAAATGATGCATTCCCACCTAGCCCCTGCCCATTCCCTTCCCCCTTCTTCTCCCTTCAATCAGAAACTTTTCAAGACTCATGCACTTGCGATAGATCCAGCTTTGCAAAGGCCTGCCTTGGGGTTTTGCTACTCCATAGAAAAATAGTGCAAGTATGAAAATACGAGAAACACAGATCCAACCATGCAGCCTACAAGTCCGTGGGAATTCTTGCATAACAAACAACGTGTCAGAATTAGCTAGAATGGTGGCAATTATCTTTAAACAATGATCATGACTTCAAATACGAATTGCTAGCTTACCTGATCCTCGAAGATGCTGGCTCAAGTTTCCATTGTCAATGTACTCATATACAAGAAAAAGGGAACCCTTCACACAATATCCAATTAAGCGCACCTGTTTTTCTCACAAATGATTAGTATCAAATGCCAAAAGCACCAATACTATCAGCTTATATTGAAAAGACAAATAAAAAATAACACATGTCTAAGATATGGCCTTACAACAATCGTGCTGTGTGTTTATATCAATCATAAGCAACAGAATCACTGCTGTATAATTTAGCAAACATTTAAACCAACAGTCGTGCGTATTTTCCTAGTTAGAATGAGCTAATTGTGACTAGGAAAATACACAAAACTCTTGGAAAGTCCATAGCACTACTTCTAGTGCTTATGATTTATTAAGAGAAAATAAGCGGATAGCTGAATTTGCAGAGAATTGTTTGCCTTCTTCATTAAAGCTCATGATGGAAAAGAAATCCGTTAGATGCATGCGTTTCAATACAGAGTCTATGCAAAATGCTGAAGTGGAGAAAACATATGGTATTGAAATCTTTCAAATCGAGAGTAGACGGGATGTTAAGATAAGAGCAAATTACATTTTATCCCCTTGTGGTATAGCTAATGTTCATATAAACCCTCTCTAGTTTTAAAAATTATATATAACCCCCTCATAATTTGAATAAAAGTGTTAAAATGGCGGAAATGATTATCTGTAATGGAATCTATGAAAATGTCAAAATTACCATTGTTTAAAAACTAAAATGAAGTTTTATGCATACAAACGTAATATGCATGACACTCTAACCCCATATGATTTTATATTTTACCATATAATCTCCCTTATACTTTAGTGCCTTAACATATAACCGCTTTATGATTTTCAATATATATACATAACTCCCCTGTGGTTAATAAATAATTTTTAACTTTATATAGGGATATTTTTGATAACTTAGTTGACTCCGTTATGGATTGCAAATTCTGTCACTTTGCCACTTTAATCCAGACTATGAGGGGTTATGTATAGCTTTTAAAACTATAGGAGGGTTATGCAATAAAGCACTAAACTATAGGGGGTAAGTAGTAATTTGCCCTTAAAATAAATACTACATGAGTGAAAGTGATATAATTTCTGCACGTACAAATAAGAAAATCAACAGCTAAGTAAAACACATCCAAGAAGCATAAGATTGTTTATTACCAGGTTCTGATGATGTACATGTGTTAAAACCCTAAGTTCAGCAACAAATTCTCTTTTTGCTTTCAAGTCCATTTTCTTGATTGCCGCTTTCTGCACCAGAGTTGGGTGTTAGGAAAAATATAATACATGCAGTTATCATAAAGAAACCTAAAATAAGAAATAAAACCAACTTTGTTTTGGCACATGTACAACAATGGACAAAAATAAGGCAAGGGTTACCATAATAGGTATATATGAGATGTTAAATTGTGTACCACTGACAATAAAATGCTAGAAAAAGCGTAGGAATTCAGTAATTCAGAGACATGTTCGATATAATTCGAGAATTCTCTAAATAACATGACGAAGCTACTCAAGTATGAACAAAAAGACATGGATCCTTGTTCGCATCAATCTTGAAAAAAAAAAAAAAAAGTTTAGTCCTGAAGTAGAATTTCATGGTGCTCATATTACCAGTTTAACATTCTTTCTTTACATGTTGCAGTACATATATGTATGCAAAAATTAGGCAGTCAAAAAAGCGTCATAATCAGCTACCATGTTACAACAGAATATCTTGTCAGCAACTACTCACGGCCAATCTAGGATGACTTGAGGTAAAACACCATATAGCCCATAACCTATCTTAAGGCTCAGCTAATGTATCTATTGGGCCACTTTTAAAAGACAAGAAAATCGTGTAATGCGTCTTGCATGCTTATTCTTCTATAAACATTGGAGACATAAAACAAAAAAGCAAAAAAAGAAAAATAATAATTTGTATTGCTTTGCAGGAACAGGGCAGGGATGGTTGATCTATTAATCGTTCCTGAACAATGTAATATTTTTTGAACGTTTTATAACTCTATGTAAACGTCTTATACATCCTTACAACTAGGCATGTCAATGGGTAGGATCTGGGTTAGATCCCTTTGATCCAGATCCAGACCCATTTAATTTAGTTAGACCCAGACCCAAATCCAGACCCTTTTGGTTCTAAAAAAGTAAATCCATACCCAGACCCTTACGGATCTGGGTATCCAATGGGTATCCATGGGTATTTTTTGAAAATACTAAAGTAAAAATATATTAAAAATATATAGAGTTCATAAATAATAGAAATATCATCCAATTTTTGTTTTCAACTAATAAAATTAACATTCAACAAATTGAATGCAATATTTTGAACTCAAAGAAAGAATTATTATTGACTACTTCTATATATTTTTAAAGATTCAACTGCATCCACAATATTTCATTTATTTGCCTTTACCTTTTCTCCTTTTCTTGAAAAAGTCTGTATCAATTACAATGATAGCTAGGATTAGTTTTTAAAAAAGAAAACAACCATAACATATATAAATATTTAGTTTTATTGAAAAAATGTAATTTTGTACCTCTTTTGCTTATTTAAACCTCAATGGTGGCAGATGTCTCGCAATCCAACACTAAAATAGTGAATGAGATAAAAATCTTTTGATTAAGACCGATGGTGAATAAATAATAGCATAAGAAGATTTATAAACACTTACTCATTTTTTCTTTCATTCAATCCAATCATCAGTAGTCACTAATGTTTCAACAACATCTAGAAACAATTTGGCACGAGTCTCATTAATCGTCCAACCAGCAACATTAATTGCAGATTCTGAATGCCATAAAATCTTACTGTATTTGATCCAATAGCCATAAAATATTATATTATTTTATAAATTTTCTAATATATATTATTTAATTAAATATATATGGGTCTGGATTTGGATATCGATTCTAGAAAACCAGACCCTACCCACACCCACGACTCTCTCATCAGGTCTGGGTCTGGGTAGGGTCTGGATTTGAGAAATTAAATCCAAACCCTACCCAAATATATTGGGTCTGGATTAGATTTGTGGGTCTGGATTGGATTTGGATAAGACCCGACCCATTGATATGCCTACTTACAATTGAGGTGTGATATTTTGTTATTATTTATGTGGATCCCATATGTAATAATTGTGCCTCTATTGTTAAATTTTACAAGTAATTCACGTAGAATTACACCTTATTAAAAAAATGTTATATTGTTCAGAACGGTTGTTACTGAAAACTATTCGTGCCATTTGTCTTTGCTTTACGGATCATACCTATTAATGGCATGCTCTCCTCCACCTTACGTGGTCCGCCTACTACCTCCCCTACTCCCTACCAATTGTCCGATTCCAAGGAAAAAAAATCTAGTTGCTCCCCTAATGCCATCCCCAACTCTGTAGAACTGAATAAACAGCATACTAGGGGTCTGTTTGATAACATAAAAAAGTGCTAAAATTGAACCTTTTCAGGCATTCAGATGTTTTGTGTGTTTGATAAATGAAAATCCATCCGCTGAACTTGTTAAGCAGTGCTATTTTTTTCAGCACAAAAATCCTAACTGAATGCATAATTCTGATAACAATCAATAGAATTACTTTAACTACCTTATATTATCTATCAAATCTACCCTTGTTTGTTAATTATGTTCAAAATTCTTATTTAATTAAACAACCTGATATTCTCTATCTAACGATTTTTTGTTTCTCTTTTTTAATGATTTTCACATCTTCTCCATACTCCTCATATAATATATTTGATCTTTTATATTAATTTGATTTAAAAATAAATATTATCATTTTCATACCTAACAATTTTAAACTAATTAAATCATAGGTTCTATTTCTTTTTGAATGAAAAGATATAAGGGAAAAATTGTCAAATTAAACTTATTAATCATTCAGTTATAAATATTTATCAAATAGTATAAATAAGATTAGTATTAAAATTCAGACATTCATATATTTTTTTCAGTGATTAAAATTTAGCAAATTAATTGTTTCAGTATTCAGATTTCAGAATTTAGACTTCAGAATTCAGATTCAATTTTATCAAACCAACCTATGAAAGTGTCACAAATAAAAACAACCCAAAGCCTGGTGAACTCCATTCCCACACTAATCTCCTGCCTTCAACAGATCACTATTCCACATCCACCTGCATGTGGCTGGAACCATATCACCAAGCACCACTTTCCCCACTCCCCTCCATCTGCCCAAAGCCCACTTCCCCACATCTCAACTCCACGCCATCCTAGGCCTCCTTCCATCTAGCTACTCAACTACTGTTCTCGTTCCATTTTTCCCACCTTTCCTACCGGCAACTATTTAGAGAAGATTGAGAAAATGGAAAAAATAAAGAGAGAGAGAGAGAGAGAGATTGTAATCAAGTGTTTGCCCTTCGTTGAATGTTGAGACAAAAATCAAGCAGCTATTATGTGGTGTTTTCCAATCTTGAAAGGCTTAAAACTAACAGGAAAACCAAGGGACACAAAGGTGTTTTACCCCTAATTATTTATGCTAATGGTGGATAGGGCAACTCATAAGGCATCTGCTAGCAAATGCTGATTCCATGTTAGAAATTGTCACTGATCATCATTGACCTTACATAGTTAAGGAGTTCAACCTCCATATTGTTGAAACTAGCTGCTCACTGATCACTACCACACGACCTTTCTTTAAAGCTTGTCAATTGTCAAACTAGAAGATATGAACTGAGTGCTATTTCATGAATAAAGAACAAAAGAAATATTGTAACAACTAGGGCTGTGGGCGTGAATTTTAGGGAAATAAGGCATCACTAAATTCAGCATGATGTGGCTGATAGAAAAGAAGCTAGCCCTTTCAGTTGGAGGTCAAGGAGATAGGATCTCAGCCTGTCTTCTAGTAAACAGATATGTATGAGAAAGAAATCCTGAATTCTTTAAATAAACAAAATTTCATGTTAAGGAATCAAAAGCTCCACCATAAGTCTCTTTTAGAGATAGAGTGGTTTGCATGGGTCTGACTTCTACTGTCCTATGTGCATGATAACAAAAATTTGAAGGCAAAGAAAAATAAATTGCAAAAAAATAAAAAAGCAAACTGGTGCGAAAAGAAGATCTGATTTCATACTCTACCCTTTTTTTTTTATTTTGATATAATCAACTTGCTTTTATGGGGAAATCAAATGAACATGACCAGATTATCCTCCAGGGGAGCTTCAAGGGAACCTGTCCACCCATCATTTGCCAAATTCAAGGTGGCTCATTCCCATACAGCTTACATTCAAGAGCAAGTGAAAAATCTTACTCTGATTCAGTAACCAAGGAACTTAACTAAGAAAGAACAAGAATGTGTGCAAGCAATTTCATCTTTCCTTATGCTGCTGTATAGAGAAAGAGATCAACAAACCTCGCCCCCAAGCTCAGCATAATAAACAGAGCCAAAGCCGCCTTCGCCTATCTTATTAGCCAAACTGAAACCTTTAGTAGCTATTGCAAGCTCTTCATACGAGAACTCAAAAGATCTCTCAACAACTACTCCACCAAGGCCTGGAGAATCCCTTTTAGCATCATTAACAGACTCTGGAGCTTTAGCTGCATTATCTTCAGGGTTTCAACCAATGAAGAGAAGAAGAGGATCAATGGAGTCATACATTCAGCATAGAGGGAATACTGTACTGGAAAGAAACACTTAAAATACGCAAATGCTTCTGAATTAGTGAACATAATTCAGTAAGCGTACACGTCTCACTCTGTTGAATTTAAATAATATGAAATACATGCTCTCCAATTTTGTGTAGCAAATGTAAAAGAATATTGACACTAGTGCAGAAGAATGAATATCTTATCATGGGAATATAACAGATAATTATGCTCTATCATACTCCCCACAAAAAGAAAATTAGATGTCACTTGCATCAGATAACAGTTGCCAAAACTGTCTGGCCACATTCAAACTAGGATCGTGACATGCAAATGGCAAAAAAGAAATAAAATCTGCAAAAAATTACACAACATCCATGCAAGGTCTGTGTGTGCAGACTACGAAATTCCATCACGTTTGCAAGCTCCACAGTTTGGCTAAAATGACTTCTGGCTCAAGCATATTAAATTACAGAAACCCGAAACAGTAATTTTTTTCTACTTGAGATAGTTTGACGGAATAAGTTTGTCATCATTTTGCAGAAAGAAACCTATGCAGCAGAGTGCGTCTAAAAATGATAATATTAAGTGAATCATAAGATTTAATACGAAAGAAAAAAGAAATGCTCTATAAATAAATGGAGAATTCAAGCTTACCAGCTCATTCTTTCATAACATGCCCAACAGTTCTTAATTGATTTTATCTTACACCATTAGTTCCAAGTCAAAATAAAATTTGAATGAAATAATCTTCAAGGTATTTGCCTTCTTATGCAACCAGTTTCTCATTTCTCAACTTTTCGATTACCATAGCACTTTGCTATTAGAATCAGTAACAAGTACATCAATAATTTCAAAAGGCATCTTAAATTTGCAGATTAAAGCTTAGATACTATATTAAACTTAGAGAGAGAGAGAGAGAGAGAGACCAGAAGCAGGTTGCTCAAATTGATCTTTAAGTGATATTTTCTCTGCCTTCCTCTTTCTGTAAACAAGAAGATACCCGCAAGCTGCAAAAAAAAACACTCCAACTACTGCAAGAGATATCCCAGATATAGCTCCACCTGACAATCCTGATCCTAAGGTAGCAAAACCCAGGATGTCAAAAAATTCCAACGTCAATCCTCAAGTACATGCGGTAATTGGAAATCAATAAAGGTAAAATGAACCAATATGAGAAGATTGAACCACCTGTGCAGCATAATATGGAATAATATATTGAATTAACAAAATAAGTGTTCGGAATTATAATTGATTTTAACATGATAAATATTTGGAAATATACATATTGAAGTTTAGTTCAAAAACCTCAATGCTACCTTGACGCAGAAGCCGATAGTTTCCACTTAGATCTGCATAACAGTTGAATGTTTAGGTAGCACATTTTGAAGTCACCGTAAAATTACGAATTGAACTACAGCTACAACTCTTCAAGTGACAAACAAGAATATATGGTAGTATGATTTGAGATGGTACTAAAAGTCTAACGCATTGAAATGCAGCAGACCTATTCATTTACATATAAACTAAACAAAGTACAAAATATATTCTATGATCCATGTGTATTCAATAGATAATGGGCTATCTCATATTAGCACATCAAACATCATAGAATTATCAGATAGTAATTCTATCAATTGCCTTGTAGACTTTATGCGTATCATCTCACATACCAGTCACAATGACTTGTACACTGAAATGTTAACATTTTCCCCTTGAAATATCCCCTGTTAAGATTTGTCATCATTCTATTAAACCTCCACATCATTGGCACCAGGATCTGTGATACATATTTATTCATGCATGCGGTAAAACTAAATTCTACAAAATGGTGTGGTGTAGTAGTTTCTAACATTTTTACGGTAAAGTCATTTTCAACCTTTAGAAACTAGACAACACAACAAACATTCACATGTGGTATTAAATAGAACATTCACAAACTAGAAACCGGGTGCTCTGTCCTATAGTAATAAAAGTCTGGGACCCAGATAATATGACTATAAAATAAAGTCAACTAGCCCAGTTTGGCCATTGGTAAATTTCAATTAGTCCTTTGAACTCCAAAATCTCAATTTAATTGAGTGAAATTGGAAAGTTTCTGTAGACACCAAATTTCTGTCGATTTTTAATATTTTCTCAAAATTTTCTATTTAATAAATTATTTATTTTTTAGCATTTTAATGTGCATTTTTCTCAATTTTGCAGGTTTGTTTAAAAAAAAAAGAAGACAAAACAACAACAAAAATAAAACTAAAAAAATAAATAAATAAAAATAAAAAAAAATAAAAAATGAAGTCAAAATCAAATTATTACTAAACTTACACATTTTCATCATTTTCCCACAAAACACTTAACCCATTCCTACACTCAACTTTCTTGTCATTTGGTAAAAAAAAATAATCATTTACCAAACACAACACAAAGCTTCCTCTTTTTCCTCTCCAAGTCATCTCTCGGCTCTCTCCCTGACAAAACAGAAGAAAGAAAAAAAAAGCTCCTTCCGGCTCCCTTCCCTCTCCCAATATACACACACAGAATCAAACACAGAAGAAGGCAAGCAATCGGGCGTGAGGAGATTGGAATTTCATCAAAATTTTAACTAAGGTCATAAGAGGTATTAACACTTCCATTGAACTATTTCCCATCTTTTCTATTTATCATGTTGAATTCATGTATTATTGGTTGTTCCTGCTGTTTTCTTGTTGTTGCTGCTGGTGTTTGTTGAAATTTTGGAGTAATCCACGAATGACATTAAGGGAAAAGAAATGGGCCTGTGAATGCATGTTAAATGCTTGATAAATGCCGAAATGGAAAAACGGATTAAAAAGCTGAATATTGTGCATGTTGTTGTCAAATGGGTGATTAACTAGCAAGATCTGAAAATGTTGGGATATCTAATATTTTGGAGTTTTGAGCTTTAAAGGCATGGAAGTATTTTTCTTCATTTAGGGGCTGTTTTTGCTTTAATTTAGCCTTTTTATGTTGTTTCTTGTCAATAAAAATCATAGTTGTATTGTAGAAGTTGTAAGAGTGTTGTAGTATAATTTTCATGATTTTTGGTGAAGGTTTAAGGGTTAAAAAAAATAAAAACTGAACTGATTTCTTGGCATTTTGACACTTTTGGGTCATCTTTTGTAAAAACTAACTCCGAAAATGGAATCTACGCGAAAAATGGAGTGGGTGTATTTGAGGATTTTTGGTGGGAGAGGTCACCGGCGGCGGCGGCGCCACCGGCTGCCTGTGAAGTTTCAGGGGGAGAAGAAGAAGAAACGATTGGGGAAGGAAGAAAAGAAAGGAAAGAAAGAAAGAAGAAAAAAGAAAAGAAATTGGGCTAATGTTTTTCTTCTGATGGGCCAAGAGTTAATTTTGGTTGGGTTTTGGAAATGGGTTTTGTTTTATTTTTTGGGTTTCGGTCTGGGTTAGAAGGTTAGAGCCCATGCATTGTTTTTGTTGGGCTTGAGTGATAAAAAGATGGGCTAGCCTGCTCGTTTGGCTTGGACTTTTAGCTGGGCTTAGGCAGTGTTCGGCCCAAAGAAATAAAATGATGGCCGATGGCCTTTCGTAAATATTGATATTCCGGAAATTGGATGCGAGTTTAATCCAATGACTTAGATGACTTACCGATGCAAGGAATTTTTATCAATAGCTTGTAATAAGACTTTCTATGTGCCTGTCCAAGAACTGTGAATTGGTGCATTTGACAGTACGTTTTCAGAAGCAATTTGGGAAATGAATAGTGGATGATCGGTTTATCTTGTAGTACAAGTGTACAACTTCACCAATATTGGGGTTATGTAACTAGGTTACGTGTCTGATCGGTTTTCTACAATTTTAATATCTTTTTTTGGGTCAATCGTCACTTTTTTATCTATAACATAGATACACTATCTTAATTTAAGGGGAAACTCAATTGGATCTAGGGACCAGACGGGTCGGTGGGAAACCTACATTATCTTCATTTAAGGGAATCGGTGGGAATTGAACCATCACCGAGTCAGACCGGTATACTATGCACCCATCTGAAATTTTTAAGAAACCACTTAATGTAGCAATTGGTGGGAAACCTTGCCTCCCATCCTACCAAGCCTTAATTGGCTTAGTGGTGACTACCAGCCCAAAGGCTAGTGGTTTCTACAATATCACTTGCCACCTTCAAATTTTGAAAAGTTTTATTTGCCTTCTCCATTTAAGTTTTTTTTTTTTGTAACGTTTGCTACTCATTTTTTTTGGCATCATTTGCAACTCATTTCAAAATGTAATATTGAAAAATTCATTTTGGGAGAGAGAATATAGTCTTCTTCCAAATTTGCCCTTCACTTATGGTGTATTAATTGTCATAACACATCAATTTTATCTCTTAATTTTGTAAACTTGGTTGATGTAGTTTTTTTAATGAAAATTTAAAAGTTGATAATGAGGTCGAAAGACCCTATAATAGTTTTTTTTTTCATTTCTTTGGACAAAAAAACTAAATATTTAAAATGATAAATTATTTACAATACTTGTAAAAATAACTTGAAATATATTACAATCATGAACATAACTTTTTTTATGCCCTAACTTGAAATGGGTTGCAAATATTACAAAAAAACTAAAGTAGGGAAGGCAAGTGAGAATTTTCAAATTTTGGGGTGGCCAAGCGATATTGTTAGAAGCTTCATGGGAGGCTTCTTGACTAATCCCTTGTGACACAAAAATATTGACATAAACTTTACAACTTTCTTCTTTTAATGAACATTTTTTTCTTGATATCTCTTTCTTTCCGAAATATTTACCTTTTTTTAATTGATCAAATATGTGTTGCAGCCCAATAGTTTTTTGAAGGTACAAATTACACCTAATTGTCAAAATTTTGAAACATTCATTGCACACATTACTTTGATACTTATGCAGTTATGCTACTAGTTCTTGTTCAACTTAACAAGTCACTTAATTTCCATTCATATTGTGATAAATCTGGTTTCTTCCATAACGCCCGAATATGTAAAAATGGGCATTGATTTAGTGTCAACCAGTTGTGCAGAGGTGCAATTTATAGTTAAAAAAAATAACCCACAATTAGAAAAGAAATTTGCTATTGGCACTTTTTTCACCCTTTTAGGCTAATTAAAGGAGAGTGACAATAATATCATTCAAAAGAAAAAAAAACTTAAAAAGTTGATTAATTGACTCTTCATTGGATACACAAATTGTTTTCCCTGACAGGATAAGGGAATCACATTGGTTGTTAGATTATCGTGTAATAGCTTATCTCTACAAGCTCTATGCTCAAGGGCACCTATTACTTTGACCAAGACTACTCCTAATGACAATTGTTTTTGGATGTTCTCTCTCATATTTAATCTTCTTGTTAACTAGAGCAAAGCATTTCTGGCTTAAGTTTGTTTGGGTTGCATTTTTATGAAGAGTTTCAAAGGAAAATTATTCTTACATTTTTTTTTAAATGTGATATATATGAGGAAAAAGAGTGATTGAGTTATATGTCAAAAAAATATTCTCAAAAAACTCAAGATTTTCTCCCAAAAATGCAAACCAAACAAGTTATCTCTATTTTTTTTGACAACTCAATAATGACAATAACAAAATAAATAAATCAAACAGAGAAACATGAAATTTACACGGTTCGGTCCAATTGACCTACGTCTATAGGCGAAGTGGTAACAGATTTATTATAATAGAAAGAGAGTACAAAACCTTAGGAAATAATTCCCAGGTCCAAAAGACGCCTAAAACTAAAAACACAAAAGAGACTAAATAGCACTAAATGCTTAATGGTCCAAAGGTTCATGACTTGCTCTTTTGGTTTGATGCCAAACCAAAACTCTTCTTAAACTGGGGCGTGGACCCTCCAAAACTCTCTTGGACTAGTGCATATGTCAATGGGCTGGTACCCTTAGCATAGTTATCTCTATTTTGTTAACAAGGTTGAGAATAGTGTCCTATTTCTTGTATGGACTTAACTTTAAATGAAGTAGAATTATCTCTTTTTAATATACTTTATATTATGAAATACATTTTGGAATTATTTGTTTGGGGGTCAATATAAAGGGAGAAGGGTAATTTTCAAATTTTCTAGAAAAACAAAATACTTCTATTAAGGGGATTTTTAAAAATTTAAGAGGTGCAATTATGAGGAGAAGTCATTGTTTTTTTGCAGTTTTCAAGCCTAATCCATAATAGAAGTTTTGAGAATGACAATTGCTCGCTCTCATTTAAACATTGTTCACCAACACAAAGATATAAAATGTGAATTAAAACCCTTTTTTTGTAGCTTTTACCAAAATCATTTCACCGTTATATTGTGGTTTCATGTCCATCGTTATCATTTCGCAATTAGAATCTTTTGATTCGAATTACACCCTTGCATGTATATCCACGCCTTGGAAGGATGAAATAGAAAGTTCTAAAAAATAAAAGCAAGAAAGAAAATAATTTCCTATCGGGCCTCTCTAATGGATATTCGTTAGGATACCTTTTTTTTTTTTGCCTAATCTGCCATTTAAACACATCTACTCACAAATATTACTTTCTATAAGAAAAAATCGTTCAAAACCTCCCTCATATTTTGTTAAATTATCCTTAATTTTAAACTATTAACTTACGTACCTTACAAATTTAAATTAGCAAAATTTAGTTCCAATCTAAGTTTTCAACCACTTTTAACTTGAAATCATCACGTGACCCACATGTAGTTATTTTTTATGGATAAAATGTCAAGTATCATTTTTTTAGTGAAAAAATAAATATGGATTGAGTTCTATTCCACTTTTTTTTTAAAATAAAATAAATATAATTCGAGTCAGATCCTACTTTTTTAGGACAAAAATAAATATAGATCAGATAATTTGTTTAACAGCAAATAGGATCCAATTGAGCATGCATGAGAGGCTAAGAAACCCTATTGGCCACCCTTAGACAAACACTTTTGTAGCCTTTGACGGATTTGGGATGTTAATTGGTTTGTCTTACTAAGATACACCTGATATCTATTGAGTTTTGTCTTCGTTCTGCTAAATCACCCGGGCCACATATGACTACATTTGCAGACCTCTTAGAACATATTTCATCCTCCAATTACCCTTTCTTTTACTATAGTTTTTTTTTTTCTTGAAATGCTCTTTACATAGAAAGATGATCCAAAATTCACCTTTCTTGTGCAATTTCTTGTATCAAGAGAATACACCATGTGTGAAAAGCACAGGCACAACTGCGAATTTCAAATAAAGCATTTTGCATTTAATGATGATTAGACAATAATGTAACTGAAAATGAACTTAAAGCTGGAGAAAGTTGGTTAATTCCAAATCCAGAATAAAGAAAACAACTCGGACCAAA